TTTTGCTAAACGCTTAATTCCCACAGCACTCCTTTGCCTAAGGACATCTAACCCTGTAGCAGGACTGTATAATTGTTATCCTTCTCACCTTTCCTATTGCCTACTCCTGTTGATCTCTTATATGACTATTCCTTTGTGGGTTGTATCTTATGATTTATGACTTTGTTGCTTCTATGTATAGTGAGAGTTTCTGCACAGGAGACTAATTCCTTGTGTGTCCCATCACACTTGGCCAATAAAGAATATTCTATTCTATTAATGTAAGCTGCCATACAGCATATAATGAACACTGCTTTCATGAAATGTAAACAATGTAAGTGTATTTATGTCAGGGTTATATATATCCTGCCCTATGCCCAATGAAACCTGAAGCAAACAGTATCAAGCTATATATCTAATAGGCTTTGATATTTTATTGTACAATAATTCAGCTTTGCCTTAATCAGAAGTAACTCTCCTTTAAGTTTCCACACTTATTTTTCTAACGGGACACAGCACAGAGAACATGTGATCTCCTGTGAGTTTCTGGACTCCCTTTTTTTTCTAGCAATTCTGAAAATGCTCACTTCAGTTTTCCTTTCTGAAAAGCGGACGATGAAATCTTAAAAGATAGCTCTACAAATCTCCGTTTTTATTTTAAAAAAGCTCCAAGGATTGGTATTGAAGCTGATATGAAACAAGCCAACATCCAGCTCAGAATCTGATTTAAAAGTCGGCGCAGTCAATCTGTAGTTCCCATTAAGAGTTGGTTTCAACTCTTTAATAGTTAGAAATGTCAAATTTGGTGTGTGTGAGAGAGAGATGGAGGGGGGGGGAGCGAGTGCTGGCCCTCATTCCTTGCTAGATGTGCCCTCCCTGCAAATATTCATATTTTATTTTTTTACTTCATCAGCCAGTATCTCAGCTGCAACAGTGTAAACTCTGCTTTCACTCAGGAGCCCTGAAGACACTACAGCGCAAACAAGAAAAAGACATCCATTATCCATTATGCTGTGGTTGTGTTCACATGAGACTATTCGTCAGGACAGTTCAACTAGCAGCTGCATTGGCATTACATGGGGTACTATTGATCTAACCCAGTATTTATTTATTTGACCAAAGAACAGGAAATCCTCCAAGACAACCTAACCCAAAACAAGGGAATGGGGTCGTAGGAAAATGCACATTAACAACACATAAAGTAAAAACAATCCAACAAATTCAGCACTTTCCATCCTGGGGCAAAATGCTCATCTGTTGCTATTCATTTAGTCATTCATACATGGCTGTGTTTATCTGACACACTGAACTGGGAGGAAGGGATCTCCAAGAATAAGCAGTTACACTGGCATAATGGATAATAGTGGGCCCTATTTATTTAGCCCAGGGGTCCTCAAACTTTTTAAACGGGGCCAATTCATGGTCCCTCAGACTGTTGGGGGGACGACAAAGGATAGTTTGATTTGCCTAATGACAGGGTGGGTGGGCACGGGTAGGTGGTCATGTGACTGGTTGGGTGTGGCCAACTTAGCAGTCCATTAAACAACACACAGCAGCCCTCTTTTCTATTCTTTTTTTAAAAACTGCATGAAGTTTTTGGCTCTAAGTTGTTGGGTTTTTTTTTTACCAGGGGGGAGAGGTTGACAATGCCTGGGGAAGGAAAGGCATGCTATCCCCAGGTCTCATGGCTATATTTAAAGGGCTAACTAATGTCATTGGTGTTGGTGAGGTGATAGTGACAGTGATAGTGCGATGTTCACTGGAGCAGTAAATTGACAGGTGTGGTAAGAGTTAACGGAGAGGTGATGGACAAAAAGCTGGTTTTAACAGGGTGGCCCCT